GCATATATCCATAACTGCTTCAGAAACATTTTAATCAGGGCCTCAGAATCCTAGAGAGCTGCTGAGGCGTCCAAAACCCAAAACACCAGAACTTAATGACTTAATTACCTCCTCAGGAAATCAGGTGCTGCAGTCCTGTTGAAGGCTCCATTATGTGTTTCAGGGGTGTTGATGCAGAGATACATAGACCCTGCAGGGGATCAGTCCCTGGAGGATTGGAGTTTGACACCTGTGGAGTAAAACTAGTAATAATTTCAGCAAAAATGGATAGAAACAGGTAATAAAGAGAAGCCATAATTAAATCTATTTTCCTGCTCTCCGTTAAGTAGCTTTACCTTTCAGGGGGGAATCGAAAAATACCACTTTCTACCATTAAGGCCTGGCACAAAGTTATTGTTTTAGAAAAAAAAAATTCTATAAGGATCTCTAAAAAAAAAAAAATTAAATCGTGCTTTTATGTTTGTTAATAAAATGGAGAATGGTTAAAAACATCATGTTAAATTGAACAAACATGGCTGCTGTGATACAGAGAACGTCAGAGATATCCAGTAAACAGCAGAAAATGTTTCCTTCATAAGCTATGAGCTCAGACAGTTACACAACATGCATAGAGGCATTCAAGCCTGAATACTGAAGCACAGTATTCAACCCTACCTGTGAGGACACATAAAACTCTGGCATTACTTCTGACTCAGACACTCTTTATCCAGTTTCTGACATTTGATGCTTTCTGCTTTACTGGCCAGCAGCTAAATCAACAAAACCCTGCAGGTTTGAGCTGCAAGGTGCACCAAATCCTGGTCAGATAAACACGCTTCACAGGCTAGAAGCATACATGTGGGTCTTTGCAGCATTCGCAGGGGGAGATACTACAGATGGAGAGGTTGTGATGGCACCAGAGGTGCCTAAGCTCATTAGGAAGCAGCACCATACTCCGGTGCAGAGCAGAGAGAGGGGAGCAGGGGGAGGGAGGATGCAGAGCCTGAAATGTTTCACCTCAGTGTCACAAAAATCTGGTGATTCATCGCCAGCTGCCTTCAAAGCATGCACCTCCACATCCATTCTTTGTGTTTTTAGACTTCAACAGAAATTCATCCCATCTGTCAAAGGAAATGCATGTTTAAAAGGTGAGAGGTTGTTCAGGGGCTGCAGGGGGGGCCTGTGTGACCCACAGTCTGGACTCTGGCGCCATCTACCTGTCAGAGGCGAGATTCCTCTCCCCTGTCAAAGAAATGGGACATTTTGGAAAAAGTCTATCATTTACTGTTTTGGAGTTTTGTGCAGGTAACAAACAGTCCATTCTGATGCAACTCCATCCTGATAAAGCTGAGTATAAGCTTTACCAATCCTTATAAATTGGCAAAGCTTATGGTTAGAGTGGCTCAGGTTATCCTGACCTATCGCTAAAGTTAAGCTACTATATACTTAGACTTCTGGAGGACATAGGGACCCCTATTTCATCCTTCTGCTTCATTCTATTTCTATTCTCCCACTCTGCAGAATCTGTTAGTTCAATCTCTAAAGTTAGGCTCTCTCTGCTTATTCTCATAGTAGATTTGCATCGTCTGTTCCTGTTTGGCGGTGACATCTTCCTGGAGAGAAATATGAGCTGTGCTGCTGCCATCAATAACTTTGTTTATAGATGTACGCGATCGGCTTGTTTTTCATTGTAGTCCTGTTTCTCTGACTGTGACTGGCTGGATGTGCTCTCTTCATCCTCTGACATGGGAGATGGCTCACATTGAGCCTGGTTCTGCTGGAGGTTTCTTCCTGTTAAAAGGGAGTTTTTTTTCTCTCCACTGTCACTACAAGCATGCTTAGTGTGAGGGATTGCCTTAGAGCAAGGGTCTGCAACCTACGGCTCCAGAGCCACATGTGGCTCTTTGGACCCTCTGCAGCGGCTCTTAAAGTGGCTAAAATGTATGTAAAGAGCTAAATAATGTACTACAAAATAAATACCAGTCTTAAAGGCTTTAGTT